TTCTTCTGTTTTCCTCCACCCCACCCTGGTTCATGCTCTGAGATGCTCTCACTGAGGGTGCTGCTTACATGATTTGAAAGGTACTATTCTCCGATCATAGTTAGCTGTAAAGTTTTACAAAATATATATTTGTGAGCATGAAGAAATGAAGAGCCTGTGCCCACCTTAATTTTACACCTTTGGGAATTTACCATAAGGGTATAGGAAATATACAAGTCCCAAGGATTTCCTGAGGTCAAGGAACAAAATCCTATTGCAGCTTATTGCAGACAGAGGGCAAGAGAGAGATTCCTTGGGAAAATGAATCCCCAACACAAATGTGTTTTGAATTCAAAGGGATGGCTGATGTGGTCCATAAAATGAAAGAAAATGAAACTCACAGAAGTAAAACGTTGTCCTAGTATGTCTGCAAGCATCCTGCAAGCTTACATGATAGAAGCAGGGTACTCCATCACAAAAAGCAAATCTATTTTATGAAGATTTTGTGTATTTCAGGGACTGATGCATCCAGGTAGGGATTGTGTTGCTATTTTTCAGTGAGGTAAACCCAAAGGGAGGAAGAAGAGAACACAGTACACTTCTGACAAGACTTACTGATTGGTATGAGCCACCTTTGGTTAACCCTGCTTCAGATGTCCAGGCTAGATGGGAAAAAAAATTTTCAGGGCCCAGTACTAGAAAAAATATCTTATCAGCCAATCTATTCTCACATCTTACTAATGTGATGTCTAAATTGTGTCCGAATTTCTCCAGTGTGGATTCTGTCAAGCGATACGCATTTGCCAAAGGTTTTCAATTTGACAGGATATATGCTATCACTCAATAGAAATGGAAAGTAATGAAATTTTTAAAGAAAGCTTCAATGACCAAGAAAACGTTTTGCACCACAGATGCAATAATCCCCTGTACAAACCTGTAGCACCATATTTCCTTAACACTTCATGCAGAAACTAGAGAGGAAGAAACAGAGAGACTTCAAGAGAAATTGCCTGATCTGGATAGATGTTGGACTGACAAATGTGCTGAATTAATGTTCAGATCCGGGGGTAACATTAAGAAGTTATGAGTGTTACTGTGTGTCCCAAAACGCCAGCCTTTTTTTTTATGGTCATGTTGGAAGTCCTACAGATAGAAAGGTAAAGTGGCTAAGATCTCCAATCTATTTTTTACCTTAGTCTTTCATTTCTGGCTTTGTACCTCAAAGTCTGTCCTGCACTGTTGATAAAAACCTTTGTTCTTCACCTCAGCTGGTGTTACAGGTGAGAGTGCAGAATTGACTGGGGTGAGGTACCAAATCTTTTCTGTTATGGCATAATCAAATAAAGCAGGCAGTGTGAACAGCCCAAGACACATACAGATCAAAACATACAGATAAAAATATTTAGGAGACTGGGTCCTGGGTAGTTGTTCTTATTAGCAGCATCCCTAATTTATCTCCAGATCTTTCTTTTTACCATTTTGCTTAAAAGCAGAGGACAGAATGACAGGCAGAGCTCTCAAGAAACCGTAAATTATTATCATGGCCCCTTGGGAGACACTTTGTATCATAGTCATTCTGACTCCCCGGAAGGCTAGTTCTGCTCTGGCACTGCCCAGATTAAGGAAAAGAAAAACAATCTGGTGAAGGCCAGATTCACTCAAATCCCAGGTGCAGTAAGTCTCACTCTGCCTTTGATCTTTTTCTCTGTTTGATAATATTTTCTCCAATGTACCTCAGGGCTGTGATTGTTGGACATTCTAAAGAGGAAATCAATGGGCATAGATTTACAATTCTACAATATAAGGTTTTAAAATGGAATTACATTTCTATGAAATTCATCCTCTGCAGGGAATAAGAAAGAATGAGTTTCACCCAATAGTGACCCACAGTTCCAACTGAAGTCAGTGAGATTTTGGGAAGAGAAAAAATGAAATGTCTGTAACCAATGGGTCTAGTGATATTTCTGTAATAAGAAACAAGGGGGTTAAATGTAGGTCCAAACAGAAAAGAGAGCATATGGAGTCCTGGCAACTGAAACAGTCAGTGTAAATCCAGCTGTGTTTCATCAGGGAATAATTTGACCCTCGATTTTTCCATCATACATGGAGATAGAGAAATAAAAGAACTAAACAAGTTAAAGAAAATGACGTCATTATCCAAAGGGATAATTGTCTGTGCTGTACCTCCAGCACAGGGGAACAGCACGTGGGAAGGACTGAAGAGCTGCACTCAATACTTTTGTCAATTCCCTTATCTGCTTTTAATAGTGTGAAACTCTGGTTAGATTGTGCAGGTGGTGAAAATCATGACTTGAGGGATACAGGGACAAATCCTCACCGTGGTGCATGGCAACCCCAGAGCCAGGTACACTTGTGCTGCTTGCTGTGCTTCTGCTTACGCTGGAGGCTGCTGTGGAGCCCTGTGGAGATCCCCTTTGCCAGCTGAGAGCCCAAAGAATTGCAGGAATATCCGGTGGCAGCACAGAGCCCTGTACCTGGGGGATTCCTTGGCAGTCTCAAATATAACCCAATGATCATTTGAGATAAAATGCAGAAGAAAGAAGCACAAGAAAGGATTATTTCTTTCTCCACTTTCCCATAGCAAGGGACAGTAGTAGTGCGTGGGAAGTGCTGTCTTCAGGACTCCCCCTGGGATTTATTCAACTGGAGGTCACCAAGTCCTGGTTCTCCCTGCCCACCTTTGGGAGTATGAGTAGGAACTTGCAGTAATTTAATGTATTAAATTTATTAAAATGGCATAATAAGCTATTCCTGACCAAAAGGGGCACAGTAAGTCCTGCTGTGTCTCTAAAGATGTTTTATAAAGGCCAGAACCACACTGGGCTTGTGAGAAGAAGCTGCTTATAAGTGATTTGATCTGAAGCCAAGAGTTACAGTACAGGATGCTGCCTGTGGGTTCTTGCAGAAAGCAGACCAGGCAGTCACCCTATGTCTTTAGTGTGCCCAGTCAAAAGTTTTGGAGTTTTAGAAATGAGAGCTTAAAGAAAATTTGTCTTTTAGGGTCAAGTCTGATCCGCCTCTGAATGAAAGGACACCAAAGTACTCCTGAGAGGGAGCAGTTCCCTACAACAATATCCAATGCATTATCCTTGCCAGTCTTTATTTGAAAAGGATAATGTTATAAGCCTACCTGAAATCAGAGGTTACAGGCCAGGAACAGTAGGACTGTGAGCCTTCCAAGTATGAATCACATTACTAGCAATTTTTCCCTGAAGGGAGAAAAGTAAGAAGGTAGATAAGGAAGATAATAATGACTGCTTCTTAAAGTGCCATTAACCAATAAACATGTATGTTTCTTCTACTGGAAGCAAAGATAACGTATCTTTCCCCTTTCCTGAAGTGACCTGTCCTAAGTTTAATGCTGACTTAAAACAAAATAATCTGTTCCAGGGTGCCAGTATTGAGGGGCCTCTGTCTGCAAGTCAGTCTTGCCTGGCATCTCTTTTCCCTCTTCATGGTGTGCTGGCTGCTCTCCATGGCCATCACTCAGGCTGCTCTCTCTCCTTGTACCTTTAGTACCTGCTTTGGCCAAGTCCCACAACTTAGATTCAATGTCATTATTCTAGGGTTTGGGAATGACTGTTTGTACTCAACATAAACTCATGGGAAACTCTTCAGTAGCTGCTGAAAATTCTGAGCCTTGTCTCAGCTTTTCTGGCCTCTAATGTCTGCATCGCAGTCCTGGAGTTAATACCCTCTCTCTGGCACAGTGTTATTGAGCCTGCTCTTCAGTATGCTCTATCTAATGAATACATTTTCCCTTTTCACAAAAATGCTTCACAAATATGAGAGAACAGTACAGACAGAACAAACATATTTCAAGGTGTCCTATAGATATTTTCTTGCTTATTCCCTCTTTGTTCTACCAGTTGTCAACATAGTGTTCCTTCTTGTTTTAGATCGAAGCCCTTGTTGAAATTTGAGAAAATCTATAAAAGTTCATTCATTTCAGGCCTTATCCAGGATTACAAGTATATCTCTGGGCTTTTTACAACAGCAATAATGCAGGTGCTCAGTTGCAAACTGAGTGAAGTTTCCTGAAGTAACTGTCCTCTTCTTAGAAATATACGAAGAAAAATCACATCTTTCCATCCTGTGAAACCATGTGGGAGAGAAAGCAATCCTAGACACGGATTTTGTTTTTCTGTTTGGTTTATTTTCATATTTTGTAGGCCTTGAAAACATTTCTAAAAGAGCTAGAAATTTACTGTTCTTAATGGCAGATTAATCCATCTTTAAATTGGCCATTGGGGATAGAAAATATTCAAAAGGTTTAGTATTATGAATGGCTATCTCTGACCATAATGATTTAGGATGTAGTCATTTACATTAATTACTGTGAGGATTTAAACTATCTGTTACTCAGCAGTAAAAGGCTGGGAAGTGTTCTCATGTTGTAATAAATACAGAGCTTACTCTATCAAGAACATAGCAGAGGGTATATTGCTGATTTAATAGGTGAGTTTGCAAACACGTACACACAGAACGTAAAGGTCTATAACCAGAAGGACAAGTCTACATAAATCCAAACCTCCTATTGCCCAGAGAAGGAAATGCTTGGCAGTTTTATAACACTTGGAGCTGGTAGGTGGCTGATTCTGGGAAACGCTAAAGATTTGCCTTGGTACAGAAGCTGATACTAAATATAAGTTATTTTCTGGATGTTGTTGAATTATCCAAATTAAACAAGCAACAACAACAACAACAACAACAACAACAACAACAACAAACCAAAACCCAAAAATCCAAAAAACCCAACAAAAACCCCCAAAATCAAAAAACAACATCGAAAAACCCACAAAATCCAACAAAACACCAAAAAATGCTGTGTAATAAGAGCAGCCTCAACTGTTGTGTTTGTGTTGGGAAGTTCATGTGTTACAAAGACCTAAGGGCCATTTCATATTTTAAGGAGGCTGCCATTTAAAATTAATTTTCTTGCAGGAATATCCTTCAGAGTTACTTCATTAACTTAGAGATTAATTTTTGTTGTATTTCAGAGCAGATAACAATAGCCTTCACAGTGTCCATGGTGATTGGACTGGTGATTGGAGGGATCATCTGGGCATTTTTCACCTGCTTGTCCCGTCGCAGAGCTAGTGCCCACATTTCCCAGGGGAGCCCCTCATCCTTCAGCCGTCGGTCCAGACCTTCCTCCCATGGCCACGCTGCCAGCAGGACTGGATTTTACCGTAACAGCAGCTGTGAACGTCGGAGCAACCTCAGCCTGGCCAGCCTCACCTTCCAGCGGCAAGCCTCCTTGGAGCAGGCCAACTCTTTCCCCAGGAAGTCAAGCTTCCGTGCATCCACCTTCCACCCTTTTCTGCAGTGTCCTCCCCTGCCCGTGGAGACGAACAGTCAGCTGATCACCCTCACTCCCACAAATACCACCACAACCCTTGTGGGAAGCACCACCAACAGCTTGAGTCGACCTGAATTCCACTGGTCTAACAACAACCTCCGCATCTGCCACTCCACGCAAACCCCACCTCCCGCCTATGAAACCATCATAAAAGCTTTCCCAGAATCCTGAGCTTCGTCCTTGCTGCAAACACACCTGTGCATCTTAGAAGGAACCTCAATTATCTCAGCAATTTTCTGTGCATGATGAAGATCTCTAAGAAGTCTCCAGCTGCAGTTGCAGTTGCTTACTTTGCCAAGAGGCGAATAGAAGTGATTTCATGGAGCCCAACATCCCACTATCTGAGAGATCACTTGTCTTTGCACTGCTAGCTTTTATTTACTGCTCTGCTGTATGCTTGTATATTTATATTGTTATATCTTTAATTGCAGCTATTGTCTCTTTATTTTAGAGGGAAAAATGCTGCCACATAAAAATGACATAATTTCTTGAAGAAACAGATAATACTAGAAATTACTGATATACACAGCACATCAATGCAAATTTCACTATTCCTTTTTTTTTAAGAAGTTTTGATTTTACATGTTTTTGTTACATTTTCAGAGAGCACCTCCTGTTACCCGCCTTCTTGCTATAATCCCAGAAGAGCTTCAGTCTGAGGAACCTTAGACACAGACCTCATAGAGGATGCAGTCCTGGCTGCTGTAGACCTCCTGTTCTGTTGTTTGCAAAGATCTGATCAGAAAAGACTCCAAGACTCCATATTAAGGATGCTTGTTTGAAATTCCCCACAGAGTGGGAAAAAAAATTTGTCAAGTATATATAGCTTCATGCACAAAGAAGTTTTGAAAAATATACTAAATACATGAAAACAATTATAAAGAATTTTCTGTCTGCAACCAGCAGAACAGGTAGTCGTGTTTTAATACCCAATGAGGCTGTATGGGCAGAACTCCTCATGTTTCATTTTTCTAGTTCTGGCTATCCAGATAAGCAGTATGAATGACAACTATTTTTTAATTAAGTTTCCTGATTTCCTATGGGATTAGTCATTTCCTTATTTCAAATGTTTTTTCTCAAATTGTACCAATGTTTAATTCTTTCTTTTATTCACTGAAATCTCGTCTTTCACAAAAACAAGATTTCAGACATCTGTGGCTGAATACAGGGATTGTATAATGAATTGGGATAGGAAGATAAAGATGAAGTATTTAGTTGAGCCTTACATGTATTCTTGACTTTTATATGTGTGTCATGCTGAGCTAACCCCTGGCTTAGTAGAGACTAATTGCACTGATATGACAAATGTTCAGTATTTGGAAATAACAGACACAAATGGGACCAAAATTAAATCTTATTGTATCAGTTTCCTGTTAAATTTTTCATGTTCAAATTAAGGGTAAAGAATTTCCACAATTGGAGGAGTGTCCACACTTGCACACTCCACACTTGCAAATATGCCAGTTGTTTCTAAAAGACTTGGGTGACACCAGCCTCAGGACTCCTGATTCTGAGGGGGCTTCCGCAGGAAGAACAAGTTCTTGTTTCTCTTCTGGGAGAGACAAAGATTCAGCAGAATGGGCAAAATGCTCAACATCTCCCAAGTTTCCCAGGCTTTTGGAGACTGGCAGCAAGCATCCCTTTGCTGAGGTCAACATCCTTCGGGAAGCACTGGCATTGATCTCTGATCCACAGTATTCCAGCCCAATAGCCACCCATTTGCAAACAATGCTACAAACATTGAGCTTACAAGCAATGCTTACTGTAAACAAGTATTCCTTATTGTAAAGTCAAATTATTTTGCATACTACTTACTGACTGGATTTCATTATTTTATTTTTAGTGTGCAGCACATCTGGAGAGATGTATGTCATTGCTAGAAAAACAACCACTTACAGAGTTTACAGAGCATTTCACTGCAGACACTATGGGTTCTAGCACACCCAGAACTTGCTGATAAGATTGTAACACTGCATCTGGCTGATCACAGCCTACAGACTTAAAATAGCAGTCTTCTGGAGAAAGAAAGAAAAGAAAGAAAGAAAGAAAGAAAGAAAGAAAGAAAGAAAGAAAGAAAGAAAGAAAGAAAGAAAGAAAGAAAGAAAGAAAGAAAGAAAGAAAGAAAGAAAGAAAGAAAGAAAGAAAGAAAGAAAGAAAGAAAGAAAGAAAGAAAGAAAGAAAGAAAGAAAGAAAGAAAGAAAGAAAGAAAGAAAGAAAGAAAGAAAGAAAGAAAGAAAGAAAAAGAAAGAAAGAAAGAAAAAAGAAAGAAAGAAAGAAAGAAAGAAAGAAAGAAAGAAAGAAAGAAAGAAAGAAAGAAAGAAAGAAAGAAAGAAAGAAAGAAAGAAAGAAAGAAAGAAAGAAAGAAAAGAAAAGAAAGAAAAGAAAAGAAAGAGAAAGAAAGTTAGTTATGCTTTTTCATTCATTAATAATTTTTTTCACATTTAGTCTGGTGAATTTCATTGCATGAAAAAATATGTTAAAAATGTTCTTCCTATAGAATAGCTGATGCAGCCTATTCTAAGCTACCTACAAAAAGCAGAATTCAAGCCTGCTCCCTTTGTTTGGTGGGTTTGATGGACTGTGGAAGAGACAACTTACCCTACCAGCTGTGTACCCAGTGTGCACCCAGCTGGCCAAAACTGCTTGTTCCTTGAGAGTGAAATCATTTTAGATGAGTACATTTTTACTGTTGGATTACAAGTGCACGTTACATTACAGTAGAACTTTCCATAGTGCAATTATTACAGAAATTTTACATGTATTACACTGTATTTAGCAAACATTGTAAAGAGGGAAGCTTAAATGTACTGTATTTTTTTTTTCCTCCTGAAATCTGCACTGGACATCGAAACATTTCTTATGTGCCCTGGATTAGGGAGACTAAAACCACACATGTTTGGTGTATAGCCAATATAGTCAGATGACTAAAACTTGTTTTCACTTGTTTTCACATGTGAAATAAATGTTTTGCAAGCATTCAGGAAGCTTCAGAATGTGGAATAAAGTTAGATGCTATAATCTCAAGCTCATGTTTTTTCTTAATGATGAATGCGGTGATTTGCATAAAAGTTCCTTTAAAAGGAAGAGTATTATCTTTAATTATGTGAAGTGATACTGTTAGAAATGTGAATGAGGACTCCCTCCTTCCTTTGCTTCTGTTGGGAAACACCCCAAAAATGAAGATGTTATTTGACGTCAGGGTCAGAATTTGCCCTATGAGAACAGCTTCAAACGATTACAAGTGAGAAGGTTTCTCACAAATAGCAGTGCTTACAGACGTTAAATCCACTGGTTTATAAGTACTTCAGCTTCAATTCACATTGTATTTGAGCAAATGCTTGCTTTAAGCAAAAGGGCAATCACTATAAGGTTCATGATTAAATGGACTCATGCACATTTTATTACATTAGGACCAAAGCACGCTGCACAGGACCAACTCCCAGATTAACACTGGGATTCAGGAACCATTGTGTGTTTGATATGCAAAAATATTATATTTGCTTAATGTAGTAATCTTTTATTTCAATGTAAAATACTAGAAAGAAGAGTTGAATTACAAGTGTGTTACCGCAGATTTCAAAATTTCAGAGCATTCACAAGCATAATTTGAGCTTGACAATTATTTTGCATGTAATACAATTAAAATGGTGCTACCAGAATCACGTAGGGACTGATAGGCAGAACTTTGATCAACATCCAGATATCCTGACACCTTGTTCTGAGTAAGCAGAACTACTTCCCCTCTTCATTAAGAGTAATGCTATCCTGTGTTCACAAAAAGTCACTCCAGTTATGGGTTCATACAGAAAGCAAAACTTGATAGCTGTTTGTCAGAGAATATTTATGTTCTATCTTATTTACAAAAGTAGCTCATGCTATATTCCTTGACCTTTCCTCATTGAAGATCTGCTGGTGGTCACCTCTTCAGACAGCTATTGATGACCATACTGTAACACACTGAACATGCAGTGTTTTTGCCAAATCACATTTTAAACTTCACTTGTAATTTATCATGAAGCTTTTGAATCATCTCAAAATCCATTCTTAAGTATAAACTGAAAACTATGCTCGCTAGAAATATCCTCTCAGAGGGAAAATGACACATGCCAGATCCCTAACCTATAAGCATTTGATAAAATTAGATGATGTCTATGATGCAGTACAGCTTCTAGAAAAAAAAAAAAAAAGAAAGAAGATACTAATTAGAAATTTACCTCTGCCCTAAAGAAAAAGGCTTCAAAATAATATTACTTCAAAATACTGAGAACAGTATTTTAGAAACTAAACTTACAAAGTCTTAAAACTCAAGGAAAATACCTGTATCTTCATTTGGGACTCTTAATAAAAGTTAATTGTTAAAGGGCTTGAGTATTTTGAGATCCTGTATGACTTTGGATATTTACCTTTCTGAATGTCAAAAAGGATGACAAGATCCTAATCTCTTTTTCAATCTAATATTAATATTGGCTACAACTGACTCAGTATTTTTCAGTCAGCTGGTCTAGAGAGTTCTGAGATAAGTACTGCAGCACTCAATAGGTGAACTACTGCTGGCAGCAGCTCTTTTTGAAGCACACAAAGAACAAACTGCCTCACACGTAGCGGCAACAACAGCAGTGTCTCCACTAAAGATCTCTGGCCTCACTGTGCCAGGTGGGGTCTGTGCATTATTCCACGCTTTTGCCCTCAAAGAGTTTGCAGGTTAAGGAAACAGCTCTGGAGGAATCTGGTTTGTGAGTCGTGTTTCTGCTTTTGACTTTTGTGAAAGCTTTTGGCTTCCATCAGGTTTCTGACGACACTGGTGCATGACTGTGGCAACGCCTGATGGGCATGGACTGGATTGAGGAGCTATTTCAGTGAACATGTTTCCTGTCTGCATTCCCGGAGACATTCTGCATCAGAGACATGTTTTCATCTATTTAGCAGCAGAATCAAGTGATTGTGTGCTGAGGGCTGTGAAGGAGCAGTTGCCCTATTTTAGAGCAAGGAGTTCTTTTAAACAAGAGTAGCTTAATCACGAAAGGGATTACGCACAGTGATGGGACTGAGATAGCAGGAAATTGGATTTGCTGATTTAGGACATAACCATCTGATGTGCCTATGACTAGGAACAGTATGGAAAGGCACTGGAATGTAAAATTATTCCTGTCTAGTTCATGTTGGACCTGCATCCATATCAATCCACTTTATTTTATAGCAGCATGTTGATGTGTATGAAGGAAGGATGATGCTGCTCCCTTGTTCTAACTTAAGAAGAGCACAAACCACAGCTGGCAGTGATATGCATTTCTTTGATATGTATGGAGAAGTTGCTCAGGATTAATTGCACATTGAAATGGGATGAATCTCCTAGACTGATCAGTCTAATGCTTGAGTACATGGAGAGGAAAGCAGGAGTCCCACTTTTTGCCTGTGCTCTGTTCCTCTACTGTATATCCCGGTGATCTTCTAAAGTTGTTGTTTGTTTTTGTTTTTGTTTTTGTTTTTTTTAATAACAGGGAAGAATTCCATTTAATCCTTTTCTAGACAGACTGTAGCTTTTCTTTTCTCCTTTAGTGCTTCTCTGTTTAGTTCCAGAGTATCTATCTGTGGATAAGTATGATGATAAAAATAAACAAATCTTCACTCTATCCCATTCTTTTGTTGTTCAGCCAGAACTTTCTTATATAGAAAATCACTTTGAGGAATTGATTGGTTTGTGTGTGATAAGCTCTCCAGCACTAGTTTGCCAGCGTCAAAGCACTGATCTTTTTTCTTTTTTTTTTCCCCTAATCCCTTGGGCAAATGTCATGGAAAGATACAGACACCTTTTTGTCAGTACTGAGTGGCAGACAACATGTAGCAAAATTTCGAATTGCCTTGCAAAATTCTCATAACTCCACAATGCACTAAGTCACGATGAAGATATTTTTGGATCATATTGGGTAATATAAAAGTTACTTCTATAAAAATTCCTGCATGCACAAGAACACATTTTTGGATACTTGTATATACACTAAATTAAATCTTTCAAAGCTTCTAAATGCTTCTAGGCATTGAATCACTTCTGATAAAGAAACTGAACATTAAATACATTTCCACATCATGTAATCATGTTTGAAATGTATTAGCTTAAAAAAAATTAAACTATCTCTGAGACACCAAAGTTTAGCATTTTCAAATTTTTTATCTCTTTCACCAATACATGGAACCTGCTCTAGGGCAGAGATATTCCAAATAAAACCAAAAATATATAGGAGAAAAATAAGAACACTGTGAAAGCTCAGTGTACTTTGACAGGATTCAACTAATCCAAATGTGTTGGAGAATGGCAGATTTACCATGACTTCACAAAATAAGAGAAGTGTGAGTGTGTTTGATGTCCTGACAATGTTCCTGAAAGATGCCTGAAGTGCTCTCTCCCTGATCCAAAACCAAAGCATATGCATCTGCATGCCTTCTCACAGACATTCTATAGATACTGAAGGTTAGATGACATCACATACCTTTGAGTGCATTTTCTCAGTTCACAGAGGTGTAAGCAGATGTTCCTGCTTCATTCAAAGCACCTGTAAGACATTAAAGGGCTAGGTGATTTAAAAGCCGGTTCCAGTGCTGGGCATTACAAAGATTTAAAAATAAACCAAGGATGTTTCAGACAGTCTTGTTGTGCTTATACTCAAAATCTGAGTCACTAGCAATCAAAAAGTTTCAAGGTAACTGTTTATTTAACAGGACAAAAAACAAAACAAAACAAAAAAAAACAGTGGTGCTGATTTTGGCTGGGCTGGTTAATTGTCTTCACACTACTAGTTCAGGAGCACAGAGATATTTTTTGGATTTGTGCTGAACACAGGATTGATAAAACAGAGAAGTTTTTGTTACTGCTGACCAGGGCTTATTGCAGAGCCAAGGCCTTTTCTGCTTCTCCTACTGCCACATGGCAAGGGAAGTTGGGGATGCACGGGAGGTTTGGAGGAGGCACAGCAGGGACAGGTGACCCAAACTGACCAAAGGGATATTGCAGACCACATTAGGCCATGCTCAGAATGTATAAAGTGCAGGGAAGAAGGAGGAAAGGAGGAC